AGTTGAATTTGAATGTCGGGGCTTGTGGACACTTGACGACATCACAGGAGCAGGATGGAGGCGTGTTGTGTTTTTTCTGTTGTTTTACTACATCTCAAGAATCTGTTACTTCAACTGTATCAGAATCGGCTGCCACAAACTTTTGAGGCTCCAGAAGTGTTTAGTGGACTCAACCCCCCCCCCTCCATTTCAGTACTTTTGGGTGAACTATCCCTTTAACAGATGTATCCTGTAGAGACAGTAGAATACATCCCAGCATGGTTCTTCTTCTACTGCCTATTGAAACTGTATATGCACACATTTGACTAGCATCACAGACGCTACAGTATAATCATCACATACCAATTTCCTTCAGTTACATTTAACTGTAACCTTCTATCACCAATCACATTTTATTTGTACAGCCCATATTCACAAATCACAGTTTGTCTCATAGATCTTAACAAGGTGTTATTAATGTCTATCAGGTTTTATCAAGGTGTTATTAATGTTGTATGAATGATTCAAAGCAGAAGTGGAAAAATTTTCCAACAATTTATTGTGTGTGTTTGTTCAGGAGGGAGGGGCCTGCTGCATGATGAACGGCAGCAGCAGCAGTGTATCTGCGTCTCAGAGCTCCAGGGTCAAAAGTGAACAAGGTAACAATCAACCTGACTGTGACCTTTGACCTGTGACCTTGATCACCATCTACACACTTCTGTTGTACACATCCTGCTGTCTGTTTGACGTAAAATGACTGAGACGTTTTTAAAGGAATGTTTTGCATCATTGATCAGTTTCTCAGTAACAGAGTGTCTCTTTGACGACTGACACATCTAGTAGGAACCAATGAGCTAAGAACCACAGACAGAGGGAAAGTGTTGAAGGACGGACCAACAGACTGTGTGTGTATGTGTGTGCGTGTGTACATGCAGATGACTGGAGAAAGGAGGACTGTCTCACTCTGCTGGAGAGGATCCGCAGTCTGCTGCCGGACGTAGATGCCATGAAGTATAAAACCACAGAGTCACACTTTGACTGGGAGAAAGTTTGTTTCGGCAGCTTCACTGGAGACATGTGTCGCCAGAAGTGGCAGAAAGTGTCAACTGAGGTACGGGCGTCGATAAGAGGTCACGACCTCTGAGGTTGTCACTTCAACAGGTTTATTTACAGGTGATTGGATCTGTGTGATTTCTCTTTGGTCTTAAAATGTTCTGTTGAGAACCTCCAGACTAGAACTGTCTTCTGGACTCAAACACTTCAAATTTTTCATGTAGCATTTCCAGTGGAGTACATGACGGGAGTGAAGGTTGGTTCAGCAAATTTAAACAGATGCTGAAGAAAACTGCTGAGTTCACACTTTATTGATTCATTTTGAATTCATTTTCTTTTGATTTACTTTTTCATAACAAGTGTAAAATTGTTCAAATGAACAAGCTCCTATGAAAAATCACTGAACTGTTCATGTGAAGATTTATTTACAGCAAAGAAACAATATTTAGGAACCAAGTGCAAAAACAATAAAGGACCAAGAACAGAACCCTGAGGAACCCATGAGGAAGCTTTGACCTTTTATGTGTTATTGTCAAACGTTCAAATTCTAACGTGTTCTGTTTTCGTTTAGTTTTGTCTTAAGGAAGTTTAATCCTTCACCCATCACATCATTACTGAAACTGTTCCTGTCTTTCAGGTTCGTAAGTACAGAACGATGACAGAGCTCATCGTGGACGCCATCGAGTTTGTGAAGAATCCATACAAAGGAAAGAAACTGAAGGTGAGTGACCATGCACACTACTCACTACAAACAGTAGAATCAGAAACAGTAGAAAAGTGAACACTAAGGTAAACTCTTCTCTTCAGACTCACCCAGATTTCCCTAAAAAACCTCTGACTCCCTACTTTCGCTTCTTCATGGAGAAAAGAGCGAAATATGCTAAAATCCACCCAGAGATGAGCAACTTGGATCTGACCAAGATTCTTTCCAAGAAATACAAAGAGCTGCCTGACAAGAAGAAGGTATGTCGAGTCTCAACGACCAATCACAGCTTAGTCTGATCCACAACTAATACAAACCATTAATAACCATCAAGATTAATAACATTTTCTTTTCCTGCAGCAAAAATACATCGCAGAGTTTCAACGAGAGAAAGAAGAGTTTGAGAAGAACATGGCTCGATTCAAGTACGTTAACTGACCAGTTAATTAACTGTCAGCTAACCTTAATGAGCCTGTTTAACTGTTATGTGTCACTGTAAGACAAAGTGTTGTAACATTAAACCAACCGTAAGAATTGTAGTGTGTGGTGTTAGCATTAGTGTGCTAACGTCAGCTGACCTGCAGGGAGGAGCATCCGGAGCTAATGGAGGAGAGGAAGAAGTCCGATCTGCCAGAGAAACCAAAAACTCCACAACAGCTGTGGTACAACCATGAGAAAAAGACGTACATGAAGCTGCACCCAGAGGTACACACATGCAAATGCACATTTACACAAGTTTGTGTGAAGAAGAACAGGATCTGACGTAAGAGATGGATTTGGATCGTGTTCTGGATCAGAACATTGAAAGACAGCTGCAAAGGAAACATGCTAACTGACATGTGTCATGTTTCAGGTGAGTCAAAAGGAGCTGAAGGAGGCGCTGAGGAGACAGTGGTCACAGCTCTCCGACAAGAGACGACTGAAGTGGATCAGCAAGGCCCTGGAGCTGCAGAAGGACTATGAGGTGCCAGACCAGACCTGAGCCAGACTTAAACCAGACCTGAGCCGGACATAAACCAGACCTGAGCCAGACTTAAACCAGACCTGAGCCAGACATACACCAGACGTGAGCCGGATATAAACCAGACCTGAGCTGGACATACACCAGACCTGAGCCGGACATAAACCAGACCTGAGCCGGACATAGACCAGACCTGAGCCAGACATAAACCAGACCTGAGCCAGACTTAAACCAGACATGAGCCAGACATACACCAGACCTGAGCCAGACATAAACCAGACGTGAGCTGGACATACACCAGACCTGAGCCAGACATAAACCAGACGTGAGCTGGACATACACCAGACCTGAGCCGGACTTAAACCAGACCTGAACCAAAAGTGTGTGTGTGTGTGTGTGTGTGTGTGTGTGTAGGACAGTATGAGAGCATATCATGAAGCTCATCCAGATGTGAACTCAGATGATCACGTTCGTTCCGTCCTCACCAAAGCAGAGCGACAACTGAAGGACAAGTTTGATGGCAGACCAACAAAACCACCACCGTGAGTCATCTACAAACAGCAAACACAACAGTAACAACAACAAACAGATCAATAACATGACAAGCTTACTTAATTGAAGTAGTTAGTGTCAATGAACAGTGTTAAATGGTTTATATTGTATACAATATCTAACAGGCTGACAAACACAGCAGAAGCTTGCTGATTTGCTGGTAGGGCTAATTGTGTGTTTTTGGCTAGTAATGGATACTCTCTGTACTGTGCGGAGCTGATGGTGAACATGAAGGACGTCCCCAGCACAGAGCGCATGGTTCTCTGCAGTAAACAGTGGAAAATGATGACGCAAAAAGAGAAAGATATGTTCCAGAAACGCTGTGAGCAGGTCGGTATCAACGTGCTTACGTCACACCAGCTTTTGTGTCATGTGACTGAGAAGTGACCTCATGAGTCTGATCTGTGTCCGACCAGAAAAAGAAGCAGTACGACGTCGACCTGCAGAGGTTTCTGGAGGTACGTCATGTAAACACACAAATCAACTCAGGATTAAATCATTAAAATAAAATGCTTCCATCTGAACAACGACGCACAAACATTAAATATTAACAAAACCAAATTAATTAGTTTTGTGGGGGGAGGGGCTTGTGCTATGGTTAAAAGTGAAACCATGACGACTTGTGATGTCACACTAATGTAAACTCAGAACAGCGGAGGAGCCAATGAAACGATTGGGATTCATAAAGTCATTGTTTGCTCAGAGTCTGCCAGAAGAGGAACGAGACCGCGTCCTAACAGAGGAGAAACTGGGCGGGGGCAAATTGAGTGTGGCTTCCAGCCCTCGCGGAGCCAAGTCTCCGTCTCTCAAGGTCTGAAAACTCTTCTTGTTATTCAATCTTAACTCCTTTAGCTCTGTGACTGTAAGCCAACATGGGGGCGCTGCTTCTCATTTTATTCCAGGATCGGTGTCGGGAGGTGGAGCCAGAATCATGTGTACCTACCAGACCTCTAAAAGAAAGACGGGACGGGAAGAAGACAGCAAAGCTCCCAGAGACGCCAAAAACAGCAGAAGAGATGTGGCAGCACAGTGTGATCGGAGATTATTTAGCAAAATACAGAGTGAGTTTTTGTTTTGTTCATGTTTCATCATCTGAATATATCAAATGTAACAATTTGATGTGGTAATGATGAGAGACGAGTCAACAACCTGCTGC